TTGTGAGTCGCGAGGGACTCAACCGCATTGTTCAGCTGCCTAAGGGTTTCATTATTTTGAAGACTTTTATTTCTCATCTCTTTATTTTGGACAGTTTGTGTCTCTACAAAATACTCTATCATAGATTATATCCTAGAGTGCGTTAGCATCACATCGAAATCCTCCATTGATGTTTCATGGTTGAAATTATGGGATTCCTGCTGTTCCTCAAAGTGAAGTTAGCGTTGCATTTTGTGTTTCCACAAAGCGCTCCATCATCAGAGTTTCTAGCCTAGAGAGATTTAGTGTCACAATCATATCCTTCATTAATGTTTCGAGAGTGGAATTTTTGGATTCTTATGACTCCTCAAATTATTGGGCATAATGATTGTAGAGGAAATTTGGTTGAGGATAAGTTAGCGTCGCATTGTAATCCTCCAGTAATATTTCGTGATCGGATTTATGGGATTCTTGCGACTTCTCAAAATGTTAGGATTGGTAGTTATAGAGGTAATTTGAGTGAGAGTGAGTTAGTGAAGCATTGAAATCTTCCATCAATATTTCGAGGTCGGATTTATGGGATTCTTGTAATTCCTCGAAATACTGAGAATGGGAGTTGTAGAAAAAATCTGGGTGATACATAGTAATTAAGATAAGAGTGCCTTAGTCTATACATAGTAATTAAGATAAGAGTGCCTTAGTTTATACGGTGCAACACCGGAGTTACGATAATTGACTTAATTGGTCCCCAACAACGGTGCCAAAAACTTGATCACGACTTTGAGAGTCTGTCGGGTTTACTGACTGCAAGTACACAGTCTAATCGCATAGTTTTAAAAGATATCAAACCCTCAAGGACCAAAAATCAAACTTATCGTTATCTAATGTTACCGTGTAAAGCTAAGGCTAATGAATGATTGGATTTTAGGGAAACTAAGAACTAAAATTGAATTAAAATAATATTAAGGAAATATATAATAAAAGAGATGCCGAAATGTGTATTTCGTATATCTCAAGGACTCTGTAACTTGTTGGCTTACACTGACATAGAAAAGTGTTTAGTAGAAAATATCAATTTAAAGACAATATCTCACACTCTTGTGGTTTTGAATAAAGTCACGCTCCTTAACCGTAGGATTTTTCTCTCGCTCGCCCACTTGAATCAAGGAACGCATTTTAAAAACTGAACAAGTTCTAATTAGTCTTAAAGGGCTCTTGCTGTGTTTAAGATTAATGCCTAGTTTTTACTATCTGGATCGATCCCCACGCTCTTGCAGTGCCGACTTGAACCTAAGTTTAAAAACAAAGACCAAAACAGAAATTTCAAATTAATTAATTAAGCCAACGTTGTTACTGAGTCCCGTCAGAAACGACGGTCCTCATATACCGGACTAAAACTATTTAACTGGACATACTTAAAGAAACAAACATGCAACTATAATTATTAACCATGAACATAGGCATATTTAGACTTGTAATGATACAACAATATTATAAGAACAAGAAATTAAAATAATTGCAAATAAATAAACCTGGAAGTAAAGGAGATGAGATAAATTTGAATAAAACTATAAACGAAATAAATCTTGAAACTTGAATATAGCTTTGAAATGATATCGACAAGATTGATCCAAGTTTTACACAAATTATAGGCCTACACTAATGGTGTGGTAGTTCCTCAATGTGAGAAACTACCACTTTTACATGAGTAATTTTCTGCCTAAAACTATGAACAACGCTTCCTTCCGTGCATAAAACTTAGATCCCTCAAACTAATTTATAAGATCCTATATAGAAAGAAATAAAATGGAAGTTACTTCAAGCTTTATGTGACAAGTAGTGGAGATAATGGAGATAATGGAGAAAGAAGTAGAAAAATGAGAAGTTGAAAATATCATGGGGTTATAATGGGAAGTTGAACTTCGTGAGTGGTTACGTGAAGAACACGTGGAGAAGACCAAAAGAACAAAATATGTGGCGCATAAAAGAGCCTGTGGCGAGGGGCATGCCTTGTGTGTTGTGGGGCACACAAACTTCAAAACTGTGGCGACCGTAACACCATGTGTGTCGAGGGGCACACATATTTTCAAGGCGTGGTGAACAAAATGAAGGTTGTGGTGACCGTCACAGTCTTCTGTCATGCATTTTCCTGCTTTTTCATAATTTCTTCAATTTTTCTCAGTGTCTTGGTCATTCCTCGTTCTTTTTCACATGGAAGCTCCGTGTCAGCATGTACCTGAAATGAAATAGAAATACCGGAATAATATGACCTAAATAAATGAAAACGATAATAAAATACATACAAGTCAAGCCAGAAAATACGATATAATTTCGCGTTATCAAGAGTGGAGTAAAACCCCTCCAAATCACATTTTCTGCGTCCCCCAAATCGGAGGGATTTGGAGCAGAGGGGAGAGAAAATAATTTTTTATATTTAATAAATTAACATATTTAATAAAATATCTTCAATTTTATTTTAGTACCTTAAATTATTATTTTCTCTCGTATTTCTGCTTCTTTTTTGTGTGATTTTTCTCTATTGTTTTCATCAACTTATTATAATTATTCTTCACCTTCAAATTATTTTTTATTTTTATTTAATATAAATTATAGTCACTGCAATTATTTTGATTTTTTATCATTTTTATTTTTACGTATATTTATATTAGTTTTTTTTTCCAAATTTTGTCATATATTCTATTATATTTTTTTTATATAAAAATTTAAGCCATTCATTTTTTTAATTATATTGTAATATCTATAATATTTAATAGTAATAATTTAATTTATATACTAAATTTTTTTATCAACTCATAGTTTATTTTGTGTCGAGAGTTATAATGCAAATCAAGTGTATTAGATTTTTTTTAATGTTATGTAGTAAGTTGCGACTTTTTAATCCCTCAATATTACACTTTATTTTGAAAAAAAATATGTATGAATTTTTCATCTTTGAATATTATACCACTAATATAAAATTATAAGGATAAAAATGTAAATTGTTAATAAAATTCCTCCCCTTCCCTCGTGAACCAAACATATTTTTAATCAAAATCTCTCACTTTCCCTCCTCTCCCTTCATTTGAACCAAGCATATATATAATTAAAAAAAATCTATCCCCTCCCCTCCCCTTCCATTCCCTCCATTAAAATCACTCTCCTTCCCTCCCCCTCATTTGAACCAAACAAATCCTAAGATTAGCTAATGCATCAATACTCATATTAGCTTTTCTAATATAAAAAATTATATTAGGAGGGATTTGGAGGAGAGGAAAGAAAAAATAATTTTTATATTTAATAAATTAACATATTCACTAAAATATCACTCTAACCTCCCAATCTTTATTGAGCAGCAGCATCACATTATTTAGGGAGACCTTGCCTAATTTTATAATAGAAGCGTTCTTGTTGATCACATAATAGACCATTTTATTGTCTATTTGAAGAATACTTTTCATTTGTCCTCGATCATACGCCAATTGGAGACCAAGATAGATTGCTTTCAATTATGTATCAACAACTGAAGTCGGTCACATGTTTTGAGAAAATCTGTCACACCACTGACCCTGAGGATTCCCCCACATGCATGCAAGTTCCTTTTTATTTCTTCATCTGTGTTAACAGCCAACCAGTCATCATGGCGAGGGATTCAACTGATGAGCTTTATACCCCTGAAATGAACATTATGTGTAAGAGTTGTATTGTCTTTGTAGATCGTTTTTCTTTTGATTTCATTCAAAAAACATAGCGGTACTATATATTCATCATTATCTTGGCCACCTTATCATCAATAGGGGTTGCTTCTATCTCGACCACCTTATCAGCCACCTCATTCGCAACAGATACTACATATGTCTGACCATCTCAGTCGAGTCGATAATAGTCTGACCTTGCACCTCCTAAGCATGAAGAACCTCAATATCATCTCTAGACTGCTTGTTTAATCTAACCGTTCAACATCGGTTGCTACGGGGTAGGCAGATCTGCACATGCTCAACCATACATTTTCGATGAGAACCATTGTGAACTACTCATTCAACATGTAGCTGGGAAGAATCTGCATTAGCCGTCTTATCCTGGACTGTCACTCTATCCGTGGTCTTGTATGCAATGGTATCGTCCTTTCCCCTGTTCTTCACTGCAAAATGAAAAAACGCATAAAACCAATGAACTATCGCAAATTTAGAAATTTCCTACGTATCACTAGAAATTTTGAAAATTTTCAATACAATTTTCAAAATTAACTACCGTAAATTCTGTAATTTCAGGTAAAATTCCATTTTTTTAAACTATAAGAAATTCTGAAATTTTCGATACCAACCTATAAATAAATACCCAAAATTCTAGAATTCCCGGTATAAATGAATGCAAAAATACCGGAATTTCTGAAATTCCCTGTAAAAATGTAAATGATTGTATCAGGAAATTTGAAATTCACGGTAAAAAACTAACATTTTAGAGAATTTCCGACATAAATGTGAAATTTTCGATATCGTCTTAGGATTTTCCAAATTTGTGCAGTGTATGAGTGAATTTTGAAAAATACTTGAAAAATTTACAAGATTAATATAATTGTTTTATTGAATTTTTAAGTGTGTCAAATATAAATAGAGGAAGGCAGGTTAAATCCTCGCCTTTGAAGACAAAATAAAAAATAAAAAAATCATATAAATCGTAAGAGTGCAAATATATTTGTATATTTGTTAGGGGTGCATAAGGCTCAAATGGTGGTAATATTGGGCTTATTCTTCATGTTTTATCCAATAATAAAACATTATTGACAAAAACAAAACAACATAGAAAAAAGAAAACAACATGTGTATGGCTACACAATTGAACCGATGATGTTCTTTGGCAATTTCCTACACTCACCACTTTCCATCTTTTCTTCTTCAAGACTTCAACTTTCTTCTTATTCTTCTCGTTTTTCTATCTCTTGCTCTCAGATGGATACCCACAACAACCAAGGCCGTAGCAAGTTCTTGGAACTTCCATTCGTTTCAGCACCCCACAAGAATCTCATGCTTGATCTCGTTTCATCACTTGAAGATCGACTTCAATCTCATCTTCTTCCTTGTTCACTCCCCCCTGATGTTCAATACTACAAAAACAACAGTGGTAGTTCTCAGATTTCATTGCATGTTACACCAGGCAACACTCACTCCCCTGTAATTTTCCTTCTTCTCAAGTTCCCCAGTTGTGATTTTTGGGTTTTGTTATGTATGTTGTTGAGTTTATGTTTGTTACTTTTAAGGAAATTATTAACTTAATTATATATGTTTACAAGGTTTTAAAAAATGTTTTGTAACTGCTAAAATGGCCGCGACAATATATTATTAGTATTAGAATGTGCCAATATCGATAGTGTTATTCACTATTTTTATGATGAAAAATAAATTGTGATTAGTTCACATCAGTGTTGCAATATCCGATAGAAATCACGAAAGCCTTTTCGCGATCGTGACCTATTAACCTTGGTTGTTTATTCATACAGGGTTTGTTGTTTTATTCTGAATCTGTTATTTGTCCATTTTCTTTTTGTATGTTTCAGATAGATTTTGTACTTGGAAGCTGGGTGCATTCTGAGCTACCAACAGGAGGATCATTAGATATAACATCTATTTCAGCTTATCTCAAAACATCGAATGATGCACCGAATTTCGCATTCGACTTGATCCGAAGCAGTCCAACAATGCTACTTCTTGTTCTGGATTTACCGCCACGAAAAGACCTAATTCTTTCGCCAGAGTATCTTAAAACGTTCTACGAGGATACTGAACTTGAGAAACATAGACAGGAATTAGAGAAAGTTCAAGAAGTTCAACCTTATTTCTCGTCTTCGCTCTTCATCCGTGCCTTCGCATCTCCTACCGCAATATATGTTCGCGTTCAGACAGAAAATGATGGAGGAGAACGGATTGACGAGATCCTTAGGAATCATATTGGTCCGATTTCGAAGCAAGTGTTGGGGATCTGGTTGGATCATTGTGCTTGTGCTGAGAGAGAAGTTGGAGAGGAAGAAAGAGGTTATCTGAGAAAAAGAGATGGTTTTGTTAGAAACAAGACTATTGAAGTTGATCTTGGTACAAGTTTTCCAAGGTTGTTTGGTCCAGAAGGAGCTGATAAGTTACTAGATGCCATCAAGAAGTATTTCAGTGTCTAAGATAGAAAAATCATTTGGAATTGCAAATAGTAATAGTGTGTTGCTGTGACTTAGTAAGAGAGTCTGTACTATGAATTATATACATATTAAAGTTTGATATAAATTATGATTTAGAATGAAATTGTTTTGAAGTTGTTTACATGAGAAGTGTTTGATCCTTTGAATCTGTTCAACATAACTTCTCAAGATTCTTTTATCAAAGGATCATTCTTATTATAATGACAAATGTTCTTTACGTTAGCTGATTCGAGTTCTCTTTCAATTGTAACAACAATATTTTTGTATTGTTGAATGGAGTCTAATTTTATGCAATGAGCAGCATATATCTGTTTGAATTTCACTACTTCATTATTATGTCAGTAGCAGTTATCTATGTACTTTTGGAGGCAATATTAATCTAAGTTGTTAAAAGCAGAGCCAAAAAAAAAATGAGATCACCACTCCCAGTTGCGTCGGAGCAGCACAGACGATGCGGTGGGAGCGGTTAAGATCACGGGCGGGCAGTTCTCCTGAAGCTTCTATTGTAGTCTTTTGTAGATTCATCTCTGATCAAACTTCTATTCCTATGAGGCGTGGCTAATGAATTTATCAAAAATACATAATAGAATTTAAGATATTCCGACAGGTATGCCTCCAGTTGCAACATAGTTTTGCTTCCAATAGCAACATCAAAGTTCACTAGTAATGCTATAATTTATATTCAATTTTGAGTAACGGTTGAATAATTTTGATGTCAAGTAGTTAGATTAGTTACAGACACTTATTTGACTTAGTTAAGGAGCCTTGCTAAAGAAGAAAGATTATGATTGAATAATGTCTTAATTAATGGAACAATACAAATGCTATATTGTAATTCAATAAGTGACTCATGTTCAAAAGTGTTTAACTAATATCTGAAATAGTTACATATATGATAATTCATGTTTTATCTGAAATAATTCAATAAGTTTATAACCAATTTCTCAATAAAGGTTTTGATATAGTATTTGTTTTATTAATTTTTTGGTAAAATTATATTAAGAGTTCTTTAAGTTATTTTATTGTAATAAGACGGTCTTTTATATTAAGTAACGTGTGCATCGTTATCTTTTTCATAAACTCCGTTCCAAAAAAATTTATATAACACTGACGGTGTTGATGTGTCATTTAACATTGCTGATACTTTGTAGTACGTGTGTTGTGCATAATTTAACATATTTGATTTATTTTTCTATGTCTGATATGGTTTTGAAGAGGTTGGCTAATGTGATTTTCTTTTATCCTTTCAATATGATTTACTTGGATGAGTGCATAAGTTGACCAAGATGTTAGCAAGATTGTTGGGTGTGATTCAAGTCTCTCTTTTTATTCTTTATCCATTGATGAAGATGTGTGATAGGTGTGATTCATAATTGAACATGTATTGTCTTGGAATGTATGACATGAGTTTTGTGTTTATAACTTCTTTCATGATCATGGTTTGATTCTAGTATAGTGGTAAGCATCACTTTGCTTGTGCTTTCAAAGACTTGAACCATGCATTTGTCATCTTTTCTCAAATATTGTTTGATCATGAGAAATCTTGGAAGCTGCTCTTGTTTGTTTAGGTTTGTAAGACTATTGTTTGAGGATAAATAAAGTTCTAAGTTGGGGAGAGTTGATAAGGGCCAAATTGTGGTGAATATTTATATGAAATAGTGACACTTCTTAACTTGATTTATTGGATTCATAAGTCAAAACCTCATCGTTTGTGTAAATACTAGCTCTAGTAGATATTCATGTAAACATTGTGTAGTTTAATCAATTGCATCTCATTTTGTAGGTATGTTTGCATAGGAGGAGCTTTGGTCATCAAAAGACAAAGCAATGGCTTCAACATACTTTTTTGCAACAAAGTAAACCTGTAAGATGAGGCTGAGCACGGTCTAAGCGTCATCAAAGGCAGAAAACCCAAGCAGTTTGCGCTGAGCGTCAAATACCTGCGTTGAGTCCCATTTAAGGTTGTTTAAGTTGTTTGTCTGGTAGCTGCGTTGAGCGCCAGTGACTTTTTCATACTTGTTTAAATACTTTTCCATTTCATATTTTTAGGGTTAGACACTATTTTTGAGAGAGAAATACACCAACAAAGAGAGAAAAACTCAGAATCAGGGAAATCAGAGTTGAATACACAACCATTGTCGACTACTCAATTTTGATGCATATTCATCTCTTCTCTTTTCTTGTGAATCAAGCCACCATGATGATGTGTAGCTAAATCTCTGTTGTCAGGATTGGATGTAATTAACCGTACTCCTATGTATTTCTTCTGATCATTGTCATGTGAACTAGTTATGAATCAATATTGATGTTATCTTTGTTTTCATGTTAATTTTATGGGGAATCATTATTGAGAAATATATTTCAAGTCTTGACCTAAGATCACCATCCATTAAATATCAAAGTCTAGAAATAGACTTGGGGTGTGATATTCACTTGTATCTAGTCTTAATGTTATCGTAATGTTTAATAGATAGAGAGATCATCGACAATACAGTAAAACCACGTCATCGATTAGACATTAGGGTGTCGAAGAGTGATACGTGATAATAGTGATTAATAATAGGTTCACATACTAGATCAGTTGAACATATATAAAATAGGTTAATGAAATATAATTCTGATATGTTTCTCTATTTGTTAATGTTTTAGCATTTACCATTGTTACAACTCGTTATTTTCCATAATCAAAATTGTTATGAACCTTAATTGTTGAACAACAGTGATATCACACAAATTCTTATGGAAACGATACAAACAATAGTTACTCCCTTCAAAAGCAAGTTTCATCAAATATGTGAATGGATCGCATCGGGCAGCCCAAGTCCAATAGGGTGGCCTGCCACCCAGTTTCAGGTGACCTGATGTTTCTATTTAGGGCGACCTATCACCACATGTTGGGTTGGCCGCTTGTCCAATATGTGGACAGTTGATTCATGGACCTCCAATTTTGAGGTTCAGTAAAGTTATACCAATACAAAAGCGATGTGAATTAGTCTCTTATTTCTCTCTGAACCTTGACCCCTCGCCTTTCTCTTTTGGTCGTATTCTCTCTTCACTGTTACGGAGGAGCTTCGGCCATGGCAACACCTAATCATTGAAAAGGAAACAATTTCTTGCTCTCCAACTCACGAGCTTCCTATTCAACCGGTGGATTTTGCGTTTTGAGGAACTCACCACAGCGATATGCTTCTTTCCGTTGATCGTTTGCATTTTTGGCTTTTATTGGTAAGCTTGCTTTATATTCTGAAAAAGGAGAAAAAGGTGGCCATGCATTTGTAGGTGGATTCAACATCCTAATGGGAGGACTGTAAGTTTTATCATAATTTATACTCTGGTTTTATAATCACTTTTTAAATATTACATGTTAATACTCATTTGTTTTACATCAATCTTCGGTCAGACTTTACCTCCAGGCCACTTAAAGGAGAAGTTGAATTTAAAGACATACTTTAGTTATCCATCTAGGCCAGATTCACCAGTTTTGCAGGAATTCAATCTCATTATTTCAGGAAATTCTACTATCATTAACCAAATTGTCTCTACTCTGAATTCTATTTTGTCAAATTCTTCAGACCAGAACCGAAATTTTTTGAGGGACGAGAGGATTCCAAGCATCCACCAAATTTGTATTTACTTCAGTTTGAGATATCTTCCTTTTCATGATTTCTTGATAGGCATCTTTCGCCCCCACCTCCACTTATCTTTCTCCTTGTATCGCAAATGAATTCCTCTGATTTTACCTTTAATCTCCTCCTCACACTTGCTATTAGTTTCTCACTCACTGGACCATTCCAACGACCCGTTGTCACAGCCAATTGCCTCTTTAACAGAAATATTCTTCACACTAGCCAGCTCGAACAGATTCGGATACCTCCAATTCATTTAAAACCTTCTTTGCATTTTCAATATTTTGATCTAGATTATCTGCATGACCTCTACTCCAATCTTTTAGAATTCTTATAATCTTCTTCAACTTTTCTTTGTCACATAGCAAAATGGGGCAATAGTCGGACAACCCTTTCTCCAGAAGTGGGGGCTAAAATTTGAGCTACACTGAGAGAAGTTCTTGGATCAGAGCTCTTCATGTATACTTAAAAATTCACCACTATCAAAGTGAAAGTTTTGTTGGACCAAGCTGTTAACACCTGGTATATGTTGGAAATCCACCAATTCTTTATGATGAATTTCGACCACCACTGATGATTAGTTATGACAAACAAATAAAAGAACAATGGAGATATTTCTGCAGAATTTCTATTCTGCCCACAAACTGTGGAATCTTTATTTATTCACTTTGCAACTGCAAAATACTGTGAATGACTTCAATGACTTGAATTACAAAATAAGGGTTACTCCCTCTTATTTATAGATTTAGGTTAGTTTGCTCCCTAAGCTAAACCCAAGTCCAAAATATCTCTTTACTAAATCAAATCTAATCTAGATTTAAATTCAAATCTATTTAAATCTAAACAAATCAAATCTTATTTTGACACCTATGAATTACAATTTAACACACCACCTAATTCATTGTGTCTAAACTGTCTATGTTCATCATGGCCCTTAGCTTTCTGAATACTTCGACTTGCACTCCCTTCGTCATGATGTCTGCAATCTGATTCTCAGTTCTGCAGTGTTCCAAATTCATCTTCCCATCTGCTACCCGCTCTCGAAGATAATGGAACCTCATTTCGATGTGCTTACTTCGACCATGTGCTATTGGGTTCTTCGCCAGATTGATAGCTGACATGCTGTCTATCTTCATGGTAATTGCTCCATGATTTTTCCTTGTTATCTCTTCGACCAAGTTCACCATCCAGGTTGCTTGGCATGCACAAAGAGAAGCAGCTATGTATTCTGCTTCGCATGATGATAATGCTACTACTGGTTCTTTTCTCGAACTCCAAGCAATTGTTGCACCACCTAGCATAAACACATATCCTGCTGTTGACTTTCGATCTTCAGCATCACTACACCAACTCGAA